GCTACATTTTGATTTGGTGTGTTCTGGTCATTCTTATCCCTATGAAATGTATGAAGTAATAAAGGAGCTTAATCGTATTTGTGGCGATCTCTATCAAACTGTGGGTCAATATTGAACCACGGGTAGACATTCAAGAGTTCAAGTCCTTGAGGATTAAACTTAAGAAGTTCTTTAAGTTATTCTGGTCTTTTAGATTGATCCAGGTACTTTAGTAGCTTGTTGAGCGGTCAAGGATAACTAAGGATTAAATTTCTATAAAATAAAATAAAAAATTAATTAATTTAATAGGCCGAAATTCATGGGTCGGTTATTAGTTACCACTGTGAAAATAAACAAGAATCATTTGAAGAATCATAAACCAAACTGGATCATATATCGTTATGAATGGTATGGTCCATGGTTTATTATAGGACTAATACTACTACAACACTCGAACTATCCGAAAAATGCCACTAGTGTCCTATTGTTTCCAATATTTCATTTGTGTCCTGAACTATTATTTTGTTAGTGTTGACCGGCGTTGACCGTTAGTATTTAACAGAAAATCCAATCAGCGTTGATGTGGCATCTTACGTGGAATTTTCATTTATTTTTCCATCTAAAATAATTAAAATAAGGAAAAAAAAATAAAAATTATGGAAATTTACAAAAATAAAACAATAACTCAAATCAATTCACTTTCTTTCCCTGCAACTTCTGAAGAAAAATCCGCTGGAGAGGCTGGAGAGGATCCGAGAGAGAGAGGGAAATAGGCAACGATGAAGAGAGAGGAGTCCCGGTAGGTGGCTTTGTTTGGAAATCGGAGTTGGCGGATTTGTGCTGAGCGTCGCCTTCTAGCTAGCGCCTTTCCCGTTCTAAGAGTTTCTGAATTTGCAAGGGAATAGTAAATTTCTCTTCTGCTCCGGTTTGGAACGAAACTCTCCGAAGTTGTGGTCGATTGCTCTTGAAGCGATGACGGAAGCGAGGAGGAAAGGAGGCTGACTCGCGACGGAAGCGCGATGGATCTGGTGACGGATTCGTCGCCGATCAATGGAAGGCTCGTCTCTCCGAGCTAAGAATCGTCAGTAGGAGGTGACGATGGAGATGGATCTGTTGATGGATTTTGCTAGAGTCACGATTCACGGCTCCTTCTCCAGCTACAGGTCCCGGCAAGTTGCTATTCTCCCTGTCGCCAATCCCGTCTAGATCCCTAAACTCGAAATTAGGGATTGCAAACGAAGGTCGAGCTGGCGGAACATTGTTTGCAGCAGTGGCTCCGGTGGTGGCTCTTCCACCCGTTTATCCTCATATCTCAGTGGCGATTGTTCTAGCGGTGGCGGAGGAGGCACATTTTGCAGACGAGAGAAGAGGAAGAACGGAGGCGGAGAGAAGAGAAGAGATTAGAGAGCAATTTTTATTTTATTTTTAATATCAATTTATTGTTGTTACTTTTTAACATATTAAAAATTTGAAGTGTCAATGACTTGGCATTGCCACGTAAGCAAAAGTCAATGTTAAGTTGGTCGCCGTTTGGTCAACTGTTATCTTTAACGGTCAACGAAATTGACAGGATACAAATGGCACAAAATATAATAGTTCATGACGTGAATGGAATATTGGAAACAATAGGACACAAGTGGCAATTTCCGGATAGTTTGGGTGTTGTAGTGGTATTAGCCCTTTATTATATAGGAGGTAGGGATGGCATAGGTCGGCTTGGAAACGGATAGTGCATATATGTTACCCTACGCAAAGTAGTTTGAGTTTTATCCATACCCGTACCTACATAAGAATCGAGGAGAAACTCCAAATCATGTCCATACCCCTTTGGGTTTTGGGTTTCCACGATTATCCATGGGCAATAATTTCACTTTATAACTCCAACCAACATCTTAACATTCACCCGTATACTCACTATATAAGTGGAAAAGTACGACAATAATTCACTAAAATGAAGAAAATTAATTTCAAACAACACAATTTCATGAAATGTTATATTTGTATGCTAAATATAAAATATGTCAAGAAAAATAATGATAATGTTTTCTAGACAAATACATATGCATGAGTATAATTGGGCGGATTCGGGTTGGATAGTGAGAAAATCATGCCCACCTATTATCCGCAATATTCGGGTTGGGGTTTTACCCGTACCCACTAACAATCATTCGTATTCAGGTTTACCCTACCCGTTTAGGTCGAATTCGGGCGGATATCCACGGTTTCAGAAATTTTTGCCATCCCTAATAGGATGTATTGATTTCTTGGTATAGTCTGGTCTAGACAACATTTTATCATACCAAACTGTGGACCTAATCCACTTCTCAATTCGTGTTAGCAGCATACTTGACTAATCTCCCAACTCGTCAACGAGATCCAAGTCTCAACCTTAATTTGCGAATCTCGTCCCCTCCTTCAGCCATAAACCACAACTCGCCAAATAGTAGAGACAATTTTGTCTCCATATGACATTATTAATGTTTATAAAGTTATGTTGCAAGTTGGATTGCTCTGGCCGTATTTTGGTTATTTACCTGAATTTATAGTATAAAAATTATGCATGCGTTTTGAAATTTATGTTTTAATGGAAATTTTTTTTCTCTCCATTATTGGTCCGAGTTTTCGTGTGATTGATTAAACAAACAGTTCATTTTCTCTCAGTATGGTATGTATGGTTCATACCATGAATATCGAACTAGATTGAGCAGATGTGATCTTAACAGTGTAGTATTTGGTCTGGTCCTAGGTCAATTCTCCAGCTTCTCGATATGATCCATTGAACGTATGTATGGTCTGGTTTCCATTCTTAGTACAGTAAAATCTCTATAAATTAATATAGTCGAGACCGTAAAAATTATTAATTTATAGTAGTTGTTCATCGAAAAATTAATAATTTATTAATTTAAAGAGATTTTTATCATGTATATTGTTAACTAAAATGACTTTATAACCTTATAATTAGACTCATATGTGGTGTATTAATTTTATTTTAGTAGAAATATAATTTGTTATATTTTGATAAACTTAACTTGTAAAGTTCATTATATCATCTTCATCGTCCAAATTCATCCACAATAACTTTGAGTATAAATATTCATCATATCTTTCACATATTTCAAGTTCATACGAAACTTATCAAATTCTATGTATTCATTGTACTAAAATTTAATAGATGAATGCTATGTGTTCATGCATGCTTTAGCGTAGGTGTCCAAGATAAATATTTTATCTATTTTTGTAGATGTTCTAAATTCATATTTTAAGTTACTTGCACCTCTATATTCATTGATCATAACTTTAATATAATTCATCAAATATATAGTGACCCGATCACTATAAATACTACATAAAAATTGTAAAAATAATATTCTAACAATGGCTTCTCATTTGAAAGGTGTCCAAAAGATACAATATTAAACTTGTATCTTAAACTTAAACTTGTGCAATCAGCTATCTGGTATGTAATTGAAAAAACAAAGGTCAATAAGACGAAAGAAGACAGAGTTGTTCTATGTGGATCCGTACAATGGGTTTTGTTACGGTAACTTATAAGAAATCGTGAGTTGGAGAAAGTGGTCAATCTCTTTCACCAAGCAATCCACCATTTTTCAAGAAAATGGTCAACCCCTTCCGCCAAGCGGTCTACCTGATGAACCCTTTCTTATGACATCTATTAGAGGAATCCCATTTAATAGATATGCTTTCCAGTAAGAGAGTTGAAATTAGTACAAAGGCTAGAACATAGATGAGAAGATTTTGGGGTGATTGTTCTCCTGTAGATTTGGAAGATTTTCTACATATTTATTTCTTAGATTTGACTTACTCTATAGAGACTTTCATCTTTCATTCAAATTCTAAGTTTGCTTGTTTTTTTTTTATAAGGGTGATCCTATAGTTTTCTTGTGATAGATCAACTTTGTTGTTGTTGTCATGAAGATACTTAAAAAGTAAAGTATAATTGTTATACATTTGTATCATCTTCAACGTCCATAAATCTGATATCATCTTGTTTTTGTGGATTTTTATTCCTTAAGTGTTAACATAGGGTGTCATCTCTTTTTGTCGGGCCTATAATCTGCGTAGAAATTTATGGACCTTGGTTGAATATTGATCTTAATCTTCCTCTAGCCCTAGAACCTGAGCCTGAAGAGACAGACTCATTTTTATAGGGAATACTTTTTATTAATAAGTCAAGTCAAGAAAAATAATCAAACTGGAGGTTATACAATATGCTTTATTGAAGGTTTATCATATGCGAGTTCGAAGAGAGAAGGTTTATTATATGTGTGTACATACTCAAAGTTGAAGAAGTGGAACGACTTGGTAGACTCCTTCATGGAAGAATACAAGTCTAACCAGGACATAGTACCCACCAGGTCTCAATTTGAGGGTATGGAGATGAAGATAAACGTGTCCTTGACAGGGGTATCCCAAAAGGTGGAGGACTTGATTGCCCACATGTATAGTATGTTGTATTATACAAAACAATTCATATTGTAAGCCTCCCATTGTCCATTATTTCCTAATGTAAGTAGAAAGTAATTGTACCATTTGGTCGACCGTTCGCCAGAAGCAGTAGATCGTTGGCCGAAATCAGTAGACCATTTGACAGAACCGCTTCCAACAAACAGATATATGTTGAAAATAAGTGTGTCATCAAGTCAACCGCTTGCTGAAAACGGTGGACCACTTGATGGAAGCAGTAAACCATTTTTTTAAGTGATCGACTGCTTAGTGAAAGAGATTAATCGCTTTCTCCAAATTACAATGGTTTGCAAGTCATCATAGACATACAATAAGAGTTAGTATACTCCTTTAAAGAATACTGGCTATGGTTGCTTGGCTATTTTCTTTTTTCTCAAACCAACGTTACAATTCCATTCGTTAATATGCCCTAAACATGCTCCATTGGCTTACAGAACTACACATTAAATCATCGGTGCAGTATCAGTAGTACATGTATCACATACTGATAGAATTAGTATGAATTATGAAACCACCAAGCTTGCCAACATACTTGTGCTTGATCTTTCGTCTAAACCGTAAATAAGTAACACAATTCAATAGAGCCATAACCGGTACCAAATTGCCACCATTCCCCATAGATGGGTAGATGGCATACAAGGCAATACCCATCTGTACAGTGTCCAGTTTCTGTTCTCTACCCACCTAACAGCAAAATGTCCTGAAGATGATAACAATGGACCTGAGAGTTACTGTCATTGTTAGCTATCTCACAATGTTTGGTAGCATTCTCTTAGGTAGGTATACAAATACAAGTATGCAGGTGTATTCACAAATCCAAGTAACCAGCAGCAAGCACGGTCTATTTCCTTCTCATTGGTGGCCGCAGCTGAATCTTAAGAAGGCAACACGACCAGCATTTCTGCTTGTCTGTAGCGTTGCAAGTCCCAGCTGAAAACCAGCACCTCACAGTTAATCTCCAGAATGCCTAAAACCAAAACCTCTCTAGTCTGTGGTTTCTATGAATACAATGTAGTATGTATATAGTCATGAGGTGTAACTCTTGTATCAGAGCAAAAATGTGGTCCAAGTAGTAGAACCCTGTCTTTGAATTCTTCAAGGCAGCTTCTGCAGAAAATAAAATGAAGACAATGAATATTTTTGCCAAACAATAAGGGGAATCAGTCCATTATGACCAACCTTTCTAGCAAGTAGGAATGTCGGTGAGGCATGGCAAGGTGGCTATATCTCAATACCCTCACCCGGTCCGCACCAGGAACTAGTAAGGTTGGGTAATTTAGTGCGGGGTAGAGGTTAGGGCAGGTTGACTTATTATGCAACTCAAAGAAAACATACCCAACAAGTCTAACTGTTTTATGAAAACTTTGAGAAAAAGAAAAACAAAATTTTTATATAAAAGCGAGAGGATAACATGGACTATGAAGTCATTATCTGAGAGATTGTCACCGCCCAGTAACTAGATTATATCAACAATATGATTTAACAGTAGTAAAATATGATTCATTTGAAAAATATCATATAAAACTTTGAGACAGGTTGAGAACGAGGCCGGGTGGTACAGGAGGACCGTGGCCCCGCCCCATGATATCCACCCCAAGCAGGTCGGACCTAATAAGTCAGGTCAAAATTCTCATTCTGTAAAAAATTGCGATCGCGGAAATAAAACGACACCGAGAATTACGTGGTATCCCCGGAATCCGGGACTAATCCACGGAGAGCATAGCTCTCATGATGAGTTTTCACTATGAAAAGAGGATGCAGCAGCTTAGGGTTCTTAGCCGCTACAAACGTCCAACCAGCCATATAAATACCCTTCTCCAGAGAAAGCACGGGTAATGGCAAAGTACAAAAACACTCTCAAAATAAAACCAACGTACAACCAAGCCCAATACTCCCCCTCAAGCTGAAGCATGAAGGTTACAAATGCCAAGCTTGGAGAATAAGTGGTGAAATTGCTCCGTCCCCAAGGCCTTGGTGAAGATGTCCGCGACTTGATCACGTGTGTGAATCTTGAGAGGCTGAATCTCACCGGAACTGACACGCTCACGAACAAAATAGCAGTCCATTTCCACATGCTTAGTACGCTCATGGAAAACAGGATTAGCGGAGATATGCAGAGCAGCCTGATTATCACAATGAAGGATGGTGGGAGAGGTCTCCTCAACTCGCAACTCACCAAGCAGGAAACGTAACCACAGTATTTCACTAGTAGCACTGGCCATGGCCCGATACTCCGCCTTGGCAGAGGAGCGCGCAACCACACGTTGTTTCTTGGCGCGCCATGAAATAGTTGCACCGCCGAGCTGAATGAGATAGCCGGTAATAGAGCGACGAGTGGATTGACAACCTGCCCAATCTGCATCACAATACCCAGTGAGAGTGAGAGAACCAGTGGCGGGAAAGAAAAGTCCCTGCCCAGGAGCCGCCTTGAGATAACGGAGAACTCTGTGAGCAGCTGCAACATGATCAGGAGTAGGAGCATGGACAAACTGACTCAAAATATTAACAGAGTACGCTATATCAGGCCGAGTAATAGTAAGGTAAAGTAGACGACCAATGAGACGCCGATAAGAGCTCACATCATCCGCGCGCTCATCGCTGGGGCGGGTGAGAGTATGATTTTGCTCCATCGGAAAGCCACTGGGACGAGCTGCCTCTAAGCCAGAGTCCGCCAGTATATCAAGGGTATACTTGCGCTGGCAAAGAACAATGCCCTCGGGAGACCTGGCAACCTCAATGCCGAGAAAGTACTTGAGCGGTCCCAAATCCTTAATGCTGAAACGGTCATGGAGGAATGATTTTACCCGAGTAATAACATCAAGACTGTCTCCTGTCAGTACGACGTCATCAACATAGATCAAGGCAGCAACAAACACTCCAGGTGCCTCATAGATAAAAAGAGAAGAATCCGCGCGGGAAACTTTAAAACCAAACTCAATCAAGGCAGCAGTAAACTTCGCATACCAATTTCGAGAAGCCTGGCGAAGTCCATACAAGGATTTACGGAGACGACATACCCGAGTGTCACCTTCCTTCGCAAAGCCAGGAGGAACTCGCATGTAAACTTCCTCATCCAAATCCCCATGCAAGAAGGCATTATTGACGTCGAGCTGATGTAGCGACCAGCCTTTCTGAGCAGCGACAGCTAAGAGGACACGAACAGTGACAAGCTTGGCGACTGGAGCAAAGGTGTCATGAAAGTCGATGCCTTCAAGCTGGGTGAAGCCTTTGGCCACGAGACGAGCCTTGAACCGCTCAATCGAGCCATCAGGGTTGAACTTAATCTTGTAAACCCATTTGCAGTCTATTAATCGTTTCCCAGGCGGTAAATACTCCAATGTCCAGGTACCATTGGCCACAAGGGCTGCAATTTCGCGCTGCATAGCTTCCCGCCATTGTTGATACTGCGCTGCCTGAGCAAAATGGCGAGGCTCCACCAGAGAAGTCAGGGCAGCCAAGAAAGCACAATGATTAGCAGAGAAACGATGGTAGCTAACGTAATCAGAAATGGGAAACTGAACATGATGTGAAGTAGAAGAAGTGTTCGGTAACTCAACCTCATAGGAGCCAAGAAAGCACAATGACGTCGAGCACGCATGGGATTCCGGCGAGGAGGTTCCGGACTGGGGCTGGCCGCGTCGGGACCCGATTCCGCTGGCTGATCAGGTGAAGCAGGGGAGGAGTCGGAGGTCTCACCCGTGCCGAGGAGTTGGGAGGTCTCCTCATTCCCCACTTCATCAAGCTGGTCATTATCAGGGCCAAGGGAAAGCTCCCCCTCACTACAGGACGCATCACAAGGAGGGTACGTGGGATGCATGGGCGGACATGACTCCATGCAGCTAGGAGTTGGTGCGCCTCTTTCCTGTGAATGAAAGGGAAAAACACTCTCTACAAAATAAACATCCCGGGACACCAAGATCTTCCGGGCAGCGAGATCAAACAAGCGGTAACCCTTTTGGTTACCAGGGTAGCCTACAAACACACAAGCACGACCTCGAGTAACAAACTTGTCTAGGCTATGATGAGTATCCTTAGTATAAACAAGGCAACCAAAGCAACGAAGGTGTGAATATGTGGGGGCTCGACCCAACAAGATCTCAAAGGGCGTCTTCATGTTTGTGACAGGAGAAGGAAGACGATTAATCAAGTATGTTGCGGTGAGGACACACTCACCCCAAAAACGGACAGGTAGGCCAGCATGAAACATCAGGGCACGAGCAGTCTCAAGGAGATGGCGATGTTTACGTTCAACGACCCCATTTTGCTGAGGGGTATCTGTACAAGAAGTTTGAAGTCGAATCCCTTTCTCCTCATAGTATTGCCGAAGTGATGTGGTCTGGAACTCGGCGCCATTATCAGCTTGTATCCGGCGCACTGTTTTTGCGATGCTGAGTAAGAGCTAGCTCGCAGTACATTTTAACATAGCGTTCAGTATCAGATTTAAACCTCATCAAATACACCCAGGTCGATCGACTGAAGTCATCGACAATGGTAAGAAAATAACGAGAACCATCCAATGCCGGGGTGCTATAGGGCCCCCATATGTCCATATGAACCAGCTCAAAGCAATCAGTAGTTTTGATAGAACTAGTAGAGAAAGGAGTTCGTGCCTGTTTAGCACGTAAACAAGGGTCGCAGTGCGACATATTCCGAGAATTCAAACTACAACCCACCAAATCCTTTAACAAAAGTAGTCTATCCATAGAAGGGTGCCCCATACGGGCATGCCATAAAACAGTCTCATCACTACTCCCAACCGCCTTGCACGCCTGAGCAAAAGGTCCAAGGGAATCTTGACGTAGATAGTACAGCCCGTCCCGGATCCTACCGACGCCAATCAGAATCCTGGAACGTAAGTCCTGGAGAACGCAGAAGTCATGTAAGAAAATTACCCCAACGTTATGATCACGAGTCAAGCGACTCACTGACAGCAGATTACACCGGAAGTCCGGAACATGTAAGACCCGATCCAAAGTAAGAGAGGTAGACAACCGAACTGAACCAACCCCTTTAACCGGGATCCCTGTCCCATCTGGAATCTGAACTTTCGATAACCCATCAACAGTATCAAGATAATCTAACCAGCGAGCATCACGAACTATGTGCTCATTACAACCCGAATCGATTAACCATTCATAAGAATCAGAGAAGTTACCCGCCAAATGAGCTGTCGGCTCTGAAGACTGGTCCGATACAGGAGAGGATAAGAAGAGTTTCAGCTGTGCGATCTGGGCTGCCGTGAGACCCGGAATAAGACTCGCACATGAGTCAGCCGCCTCTGGTTCAACATGCGCTGCCTTGGAACGCCTCGGACCAGACGCAGGGCGCTCCTCGCCTTGTTTTGCACGCAGATGACCAGGAGGAAAACCAATCAGGCGATAGCACGTTTCTCGAAGATGGCCGAGCTTGTTGCTGAGTGAGCAGCGAGGTTTCTCGCGCTCCTCCTCGAGTCTTTATCGGCTTGGGCCTGAAACACGGCAGTCTCGACCACGGGACGCCGCCCAGCTGTGAGCATGCGATGTTGTTCTTCGGCAGCCACAGTTTGGTAAGCCTCAGCTAGAGACGGCGTAGGCTTCGTGCTGAGGATCTGTGAGCGAACGACGGAGTACGCGTCGTCAAGGCCGAGCAGAAAGTCAAAGAGACGCTCGGACTCAAGCCGAGCTTGGAATTGGCCGGGAAGGTTGCAGCTACACCCGCCGCAGGAACAGCCGGTGCAAGTGCAGCGAGGAAGACCACCGACCGCGTCCATCTCATCCCAGTAAGACCTCAACTTCGTGTAGAATGCCGAGATGGACAACTTCTCCTTGCGCAAAGCAGCAATCGTACGACGGAGCTCATACGCGCGCTGTGCCGAACCACGACTGAAACGCCGTTGAAGGTCGGTCCAGATAGCACGCGCAGTTGTGGCCATGCGGACGCTGTTGCGGACTTCGCGGGTCATTGCGGTCTTCAGCCAGCCTTTGACGGTGGCATCGCAACGATCCCAAGCTTCTTGATGACGAGCCGAACCAGCCTGCGCGCGGGGAAGAGATCCATCGACGAAAGCAAGCTTGTTCTTGGCGATTAGGGTTTCGGTGATGTCGTTCACCCATTCACCATAATTAAGATCATTCAGCAAATCACTACCAAACTGTTGAGCAGGATTTTCGGAGGGGTGGAGATAAAGGGGAGAGCTGATCGGAATGAGCTCGGCGCTCGAAGAGGCAGCCGGTTTGTCGCCGTCAGTCATCTCAGCCTTCGATCCCAGGATGAGTCAATAATCGAAGCGCTAGGTCGAATCGTAACGCTCTGATACCATGTAAAAAATTGCGATCGCGGAAATAAAACGACACCGAGAATTACGTGGTATCCCCGGAATCCGGGACTAATCCACGGAGAGCATAGCTCTCATGATGAGTTTTCACTATGAAAAGAGGATGCAGCAGCTTAGGGTTCTTAGCCGCTACAAACGTCCAACCAGCCATATAAATACCCTTCTCCAGAGAAAGCACGGGTAATGGCAAAGTACAAAAACACTCTCAAAATAAAACCAACGTACAACCAAGCCCAATACATTCATGCTAGCAAGATTTCGACCAGAAGAGCTGAGTAGTGGCAATTTGCATTGCAAAATCATCTTATTTCCATATGTCAGGTTCTCAAAGAAGCAAAGCGCGGGAATCAGCATACACGAACCATTACTTCAATTAAAACAGATAGAAACTAACTTGCATACCTCTTGTGAGTATGATCATGACAACCGAGCAGTGATTGTTACATGCAGAGAACCTGATCCATCTACAGCGGCCCAGAACCTCTTGTCTTGTTCCGAGAAGCACCAGCTCTGCGAAGTTGGGGATTCTCTATTGAGTAAACAAGAATATGTCCATCTTTGGTCCCAGCCAGGAAGCATTGCTCTGGAGTCACGGCTAGGCTTGTGATCATCTTTCCAGCTCCCACGTATCTCTTCACAACATCGAGATTGCGCATCGAACGCACAACTATTTGCCCATGGTCACCAGCACAGACCAAGAACTCCCCACACCTACTGAGTTTAATCCAGTTGAGACGCCCATTAGATTCGGAACTTGCCAGATGTTTGCCATTGATAGAGTAGAGATGCAGGCTGAGATCATCCTCGGCATAGAACACAATATGCCCATGCCTTGAAGCAACAAGCTTTGACAGCAGATGGCCAGATGGATGGCGCAAAGACCTCACATATCGGCCTTCCCTAAGGGTATGGAAAATACACGTCCCATCTTTTGAACCACTGATGACTATATCGAGCTCCACACTGATAAACAAGCAGGTGATTATATCATCATGACCACAGAGGATATGGAATGGGGTTTGAGCAATCACAAGATCTTTACGAGATAATTCTGTTTGTACATTTCTAACTCTTTTGTCGTGGGCTCTGGCACGTACTACTTCCCACACCATTACAGTGGTGTCATAACTTCCAGTTGCAAGGATGGTGTTATCAGCAGACACTGCAAGATAAAAGGGTCTTAGAGAACAGAACCAGATCATAAGAGGCAACACCATATTCTACGAGATTCAATAACTGGTCGTACTGTGATTATTGCATGCATGAAATGACAAAATGCATAAAATGTGATAGGAATAGATTTCCCAAAGTATTTTGCAGGGATAAACCGTCATTAAGGAGGGGAGTAACTACATAATTTTTAACTGAAAGAAGAATATTTTTTTATCATTGCTATCAATTAGAAATGAATTAGTATCACGCGGCGAAGCGCGAGCTTATTTCTAGTAAAACTATAAAAGAGGAGAGAAAAATGGTGAACAATCAACGATGGTGGAAAAAATTTAATGACATGACACAAAATCAAACATTTAACTCTATCACATACATAATTATAAAATTTAAATCATTATTGTATTCTCATGGAAAAAATTTATCTATCTTCATTCCCTCTCTCCCCTCTCTCTCACTACAGAAACTCCGCCGCAGTGAAAGACAACCCGTTGCCGACTTCTCCGAGTTGCCATAGCAGTTGAGGAAGTTCCTGGCGGCGAGCTCCAGATCTATTTTTCCTTTCATCCTGATTTGTTACTTCTTCTTCTACTTCTCGTCCCTCCTCTGGAATCGAAATTTTGGATAGCGAAATCCTCCTCTTCGACTTGAGACGATTGACAGCGACCTCCGACGATGGGTTCTCTTGGGCTTCTAGAGTAGAATGAGGTGTTGATGGGTTTTTCTAAGGCATGTAAATTTTACTGGTTTTTGAGTTATTCTATAGAAAATCATTGGCCAAATCTAGGTGTTGCTGGATCCACTACAATGTCGCCGCCACACATCTTTTCCCGCCCCTCCTCCGCCTTGACCTCCCCCCAACCCCGCCAGCAAGATCGGAATTGAATAGTGCTAATTAACAATCTCGCCGGAAGAGGAATTAGCCCATGTGAACTTTGATATGTTCATCGAAACACTATCCCCTCCTTGGAACTGTCGATGACACAGAGGGGCGACACGCAAAAGAAAATATTATCTTCCCCTTTCATCCTCCGTTGCTTCGATCTCTCTCTCACATTCCAAATTTTCCTTTGGTTTGCTTGTTTTGCTTCCCAATTGGGACGATTTTCTGGGAAAAGGAACAGTTCTTTCTTCCTTGCTCCGAAGGAAGATGGTGAGTGAATTGTGAAAGGGTAAGTCCAACCAGATTTGCCTTCTTTCTTGCTTGAGAGACTTGTTCCAAAAACATAAGGCAAGAATGGGGAAGGAAAGTGGCAAGGCGTTTGTTTTCTTCCGTTTGGTTTGCTTTCAGGTTTTGGTAGGGAGTGTTTTGGCGAGAGACTTCATGGGGAATATAAGGGTTTGGTAAGGGCGGCGCTTATAGCGGTGGGTGCGGGTTTGGTGGAGGGGCTGGAGAAGAAGAATGGGTTTGGTAAGGGCGGCGGTATTGGTGGTCCGGCGATGGGATTGGGTTTGGTGGAGGAGTTGGTGGGGGCAGAGGGTGAGGCGATGGTGGCGGGTTAGGAGGTTGAGCTGGAGCTCGCGGTTGTGGACTGGGTGGTGGCTTGGTGGGACCTGGGATAGGTAAGGGATATGAAATCAGTGGAAAGATTGAGAATGGTAGAGCGACGGAACAGAGGTGGTGGGATCGGAAAAGATGAAGGGTTTTGGTGGAGGATTTGGGGCGGTGCTGGTGGGGGAATTGGGAAGGGTGGAGTAGGTGGCAGATTACTAGGTGGGTAGTTTCTTTTTTTTTTTGTTATAAATAAATTTCCATGTGGCAAGTGCTAATGTTTGAAGTTCTTGCCACGTCATAAAAAATCATCCAACTCAGCAATAGGTTTGTCACGTCCTTTGTCACGTCATAGTCAACTAACTGTTGACCGGACGAAAAGTTGTGGTTTGGCTATTGTTTTGTTTTTGAAAAGGTTTGGCTATTATTTTGTTTAAAACGAAAAGTTTGGCTATTAAATTGTATTAAACAAACTATCATGGACTTTGTAGGGGTAAAATATCTCGTGCATTCCGTTAAAGTTGACAGAATATTCTTGTAATATTCCATTCTCTAAATTTTAGGATTGGTCCTTCTACTTTTTTATTGTAAACGATCATTTTGACTTATGAAAACATCATTTTTCTATTGTTTAGTTGGAATAAAAAATAATCCTTTGGACTTATCAATCCTGTTTTGAAGAATCTCATACTAAACTTATTTTTTAAAATGAAATATATAATTAATTATCATTGTAAGTATTTTAATTATCATTATGTTCAAATAATTGAATTATTCTATGAATTATGTCTCGATATAAATAATCTGAGAATGTTATATTTAGTTTTCTTACATGCTGGTGTTTATCTAATTTTCCATGTTAAATCTCATTGTAATTCTCTAATATTATATTGAAACGTGTTGCATATTAGTTAAATTTAATAATTCTAATTCTCTTCCTAAAGTCTTATTTTATTTTCTAGATTTTTTACTGAATGTTGTAGCTTTTATAGTTTACTTATTACTTGGTTAGTTTTCCTCTAATTTTGTTCTACATTCTTTTCAATTATTGGAATATGTTTATTTCTTTCTTATTGTGTTCTATTTATCCTTCTTAGGTCTTGATTTATTCATGGTGGATTAGTATCTATTTTGTCTATTTTTTAGTGGTGCTTCTAATGGGATTAGAGGTTTAAACTGATCTTATAATATTAATTTTAAATATTTATTATTATCTTCTAGTATATTTATTATCACTTCTTGATATTTGTTTATTATATTTACTAATTTATCTATTCTATTGAAAAAAATTCCTTAGTCATTCTACTAATATTACTTTTATAAGATTTTCTAATTTTCATATTAGATAATACTCGTTGAAAATATGATTATGGTTGTTTTTAAAACTTTTGGGTACCAAAAAGTAATTAAAGTTTGATTTGGATGGAAAACTTGACAGATGCACTTTTTGGCGACTTTAGTGGTAGCCGACGTCAAATTTAAGTGGTATGTCTACCCCATTCTAAAACTTAAGTGGTACCCAAGATATTTTATCCGACTTTGTACACAATCGGTCGTATGCTTGATGGATTTAGCAGGGATAAATCTGTGGCCCCCACAGTTTTTTAGGGTGCAAATCTGTGAACCCCACGGACTTAGAAATTTCACCTCAAAGGGTGGGATTTGTGTGGGTGTCTCAAGTTCTTGATACTTATTTACTATTTTATCGTCATCTTGTTTTATTTCTAACAAGAAATAAGGGGTGGTAAGGGTAGATGGGTAAATTCATAATATAACCACAAATATAATTACGCAAAATCCATCAAGCAAACAATGATTTTATCCAAAAACCAAATTGACCAATTCCATCATAAATCCTTGGTTTTATAAAACCCAAGTTATGACCAAAACCTTCAAGCAAATCATCATAAATCCTTGGTTTTATAATTACGCAAAATCCATCAAGCAAACAATGATTTTATCCAAAAACCAAATTGACCAATTCCATCATAAATCCTTGGTTTTATAAAATCCAAGTTATGACCAAAACCTTCATTTATCAAATTCATGAAGCAAATTAATCTGTTAACAAGGCTTTTTGTTAGTAGATACCGACACGGTCTGGATTGTGGCCACGTCGGCCCAGCTTTGATCCAAGGATGAGGGGGTCAGCCTAGCTGTGACTCACTTTAGTGAGCTATTTTTGAGTTTTTCGCACAAGCCGACCCAACCGACAAAGTTGAAGAAGGTGGCTCGGGCCCACCTTTGATTTGGACGGGATTTGGGAGAGGAAAGGAAGGGTGAAAGCGAATATCTCGTTTGGTTACAACAGATATTTATTATTCAATGATCGAATATTAGTCTGTGGTATTTATCTATATTTATATGTGTTTCACCTGATATTTGTCTATGTTGTGTAGATATTAGTTTGTATCATTTTTTAAATGAAATAGCAGTATCCATTCTTCACAAAACCAATATATATCCTTGACTAACCCAGTATATGTCATTAAACTAATATTTACCATACATTAGTTTACCAAACCATTTTCACTCTTATAGAAAAATGTTTACAAACCCTAAAATAACTGAACTACTCAAAATTGATTACACAAATTTAGAGTTTAGGGTTTGGGGTTAGAATTTAGAATTTAGGGCTTAGGGTTTGGGGTCTAGGGTCTAGCTTTTTGAGATTATGGTTTGGGGTTTAGGGTTCGGGTTTGGGGTTCGAAAGAAGGGTGTATATGTGGACGCTAGAGGTGGCAATTCTCAATCCAATCCACCAATCCATTAAAAATATCCACCTAATCCAATCCATTTAAATCCAATCCATTTGATCCAAATCCAATTGGATTGGTGGATTCATGGATCAATCCATGGATCCAAATGGCAAATTACGGTTTGGTACCTATAATTTTTATATTTTACATTTTGGTACCCAAAATTTAATTTTTTATACAAAAAATATCATTGGAAAATTACGGTTTGGTACCTAAAATTTTTCATTATGACATTTTAGTACCTAATTTTTCACATTTTACATATTGGTCCTTGTTTGAGGATGTCATTTGGATTCATGGATAATCCACCAATCCACTTGATCCAATCCATGAATCCACCAATCTATTGGATCCAATCCATTTGATCCATGGATCTACCAATCCAATCCACCAACCCATGGATCCAATCCATTTGCCACCTCTAGTGGACGCGTATGACAAGAGATATTTATCTATGTTTGTTTGTGTGGATATTTATGTGTGCTTCACTCGATATTACAATGTGTTATGTTGATATTAGTTTGTATAGTTTTATAAGTGAAACAATATCCACTGAATTTATATCAACAAAAACTGATTACACCAGTTTAGGGTTAGGGATTCAGGTTTAGGGTTCATATTTTTGTTTAGGGTTTGGAAGACGATGTTATGGACATGGTTATGAACACAATGTAGGGTGGCATGAGTTCTACTGTTTCCTGGATGGGATGTGCGGGTATTTTCAGATCCCCATTGTACCGGAAGA